ATATATATATATGCATAGTGTAGTGGTGGGAATCAAATAATTTAACAACAGGTTCTCTGCACTAAGTATAAAATAAAAAGATACATTAAAAAAAGTGGAGTCCTTTGACTAGCCAACTCCCAAATCCCCCCCCCCAAAAAAAAAACAACAAAAAAACAACAACAACACACACACACAGCAAATTTCTCTCCGGTCAAACTTCAGTCGAACAATTCTCCTGGGAAATATTTCTTTCGTATACAATTTTGAATACGGACCCATAGACAAGCTACCGGTACAAGTCGTGTCTCTTTAGAGTTCAGATTATATGATGATTAATTAATTATTAATTGTGATTGAAATAAACCATCATGTAGGCTATTTAAACCATCATGTGGGCTATTTAAACTGTCATGTACCTAATTTAAATAGTAATGAAGCCTGAATAAAAAAAAAACACAAAAAAACAATACACTCTTTAAAATACAATAAATCAACTAAAGTAATCGGACAATAAAAAAAAATATATATATTTAATTAAAAAATTAACTACGAAGTTTCATTGGGTCAATGCTGAGACATTGACACACTTTCAAAGTTTGATTGAAGCAATGTGGACACAATGAACAACTTTCGATGTTTGATTGAAGCAATGTGGACACAATGAACAACTTTCGATGTTTGATTGAGGCAATGCCGAAACACTGAACAACTTTCATTTCAGCTAAAATAACTAAAGGAGAGTATATAAAAAAGGAAACTTTACTATTTATTTCATTTTTAATGTAAGATTTCAGCTGACGTCAGTCTCCGTTGCCCGCCTCACATATGAATTTCCTGATATGTCCACACGTGATGTCACTCAAAGCACACGACGTAGCACAGTAAACAACACAGTCCTCATTGCCTGTTTCATTATTTGGCCGCGTAGCACAGTAAACAACACAGTCCTCATTGCCTGTTTCATTATTTGGCCGCGTAGCACAGTAAACAACACAGTCCTCGTTGCCTGTTTCATTATTTGGCCGACCTGAAATTTACAAATAATAAAATGTCATCATGAAAGTGTTTTTCCCCCCAAAACATTGAACATCGTATATAAAGTTGTAAATGTTTGTACAACGTAAATAAAAAATAAGCAATATATGTTTCAGCGGTAAAGGACAATCGTTGTCAATCGTTTAATTAATAATGTAAATAATTAATTTAATTGAGTTGAAGCGATTGGTGGCTTGTTGCCTTTTTCCCGGTTGCACCATATGACTAACATTTTTTTAACTTAAGTAAACATTGCAGAATTACCTTCGCTGAATATCACGTTTTTCAAATCGTCTGTTACAGCGGCTCCATCGTCAACCCACTGGAAAACACCTTCTTGTTGGATGTCGTCAAGACCTACCCAGAAATCATCATCGTCTCTATTGTAATAAGTTTTTAACAGTTGCAGTTTTGCTTCTCTTTTGACTGTGTATAGGTGAGCTCGTCTATCTGGAAAAGAAAAGAGGATATTCGACTTATGGTTAGAACATCTGTATGTGGCAATGCATAACACGGCACCTACTATCTTCAACGTTGTGTGTATGTATCAGTGTCAACCAAAATCGGAAAATCGTTTGTAAGGAATGACATCAGTGAACCGAGGGAAAGATCTTATGCGCCCCCCCCCCGCCCGACTACCTATTCACGAACCCTTCCCTTCGCCCAGAGGGGTGTTGCAGCGAAACGGCATCCGTGAGATGCTTCGCCCAATGGGCAAACTATCTGGTTACCACAGGAACGCCAAAATGAAACATTCCTTTCAAATTAAACCTAAGATAAGATAAGATAAGATTCTTTTATTGATCCAAATAAATGGCAATGTTTTTTGATTGCATTGTACATTATCAGCACTTAAATAAATCAATTTGAAGACAAGACAATAAATTATCTCAAACAGCTATTCAGTGAGTTCTTTTAGCCAAATAGGGGACTTACTCGTTCTCATGAAGATGTGTGACTTCAGAGGGAGCACGCCGGTAAATTCGTACAGATTGGGGAACAAGATAATTTTTAAATCTTTCTCTTATATATCTTATATATTTTTTATATATTTTCCTAGTTACATAGTAAGCGGGGGATTCCCTACTTCGGATCATTATGACATCCTTCGCCACGCCTGGTGCGCAAACGTGATTCTGACAGGGGGATTTTTACTGTCACCTCCACGCGAAGGCTTCCCTCACGGATGTCGACCGCACTCAAATCCTAGTAGCGTTTATTTCTAAAGTGGTACTGGGCACGCCTGGCCCCTAAGTGAAACACCACACAAATAGAACTATGGTGGTGACGGGGAACGAAACGCCTGTCTGTTAGGAGACCCACCATCAACGGGGATTTGAAGTTTTCGTCATCGATAACACCTTTATTATCTACTATCCTTTAACGGCTGCTGTATTAATGATCACTGAACCCATGCTCCTAACATGTTTACCCAACTTACTCACCACAATTTCCGTGTGTCTGTAGCCCGTTTGGAGGGTTTGAACTCATGTTGCTTTCCTAGGTCCCTGAAGATACAAGGATGGACAGACTGCGCCCGGACCCGGGAACGGGCTGTCAGTGTCACCCAAAGGGCCTTAACGACGCAATAACAACAGAAATAAGGGGCCCTAACTCTATTACATAGACACATTAAATGGCCATTGTACAAATATTATTTATTAATTTTTGTCTGTTTAAGTAGGCTTTTCACCGAAACGTTCGGTATTTTATTTGAAAATAACGAAGCACAAACCCCGTTTTTTTTTTAAAAACACAAATAATTTGTGTCTTTTAAGCTCACCTTCACAATCTTTCCTTGCAGCCTGGTAGGATAGTTTAATTGTTGACACCCATGTACACGTGATTAGAGAACCATGAGCCTTGATGGTGAAATTAGATGTGATATTACAGAAAGCCCCTGTGTGGTACAGCGCAGTTTGGTTCAAGTCTCGGGTAGACGATGTTGGAACAATCCACGAACCTTGTGTAGTTCAACAAGCATGTTGGAAAAAAAAAACCTCATAGAAAATATCACTTTTACTTCAACTCTTATTAACGTGACTACATGTGCTTCTTGATTTAATTTTTGACTGTAATGAAGCTATGAAAGTAATTATTGCTATTTCCATGTTTCAGGAAGTGTATTCTACAATCCAAAGAAATTGTTAAATACAAGCTGTATATAAAAATTTCGGGTGTCTAAACCCACCACTTTTTTTAAAAAAAGTAACCACAATATAAATACAATACAATGCCGGCCCAAATTCTTGTGCATAGTTTTTTCCCAAAATTGTTTTGACCATCTAAAACTGGCAAAATCGAACTTTTTTTTTTTCCTTCTATGTCATGCCAGGCTTTACTGAAGCGACCAGCACAGGTTTATCTTTATATAAGACGTTCTCTTTAACTCCAAATTTCCACGTTGTGTGTGTAAGGAGCGCTATTTTGATTACACACGAGACATTTTTAAGATTTCTCGTGCAGTGTCCACCTGGTGAACGGCTGAAAAATAATCCCGAGTTCACTTGGGTGGTTTGACACTGTCGCTCGAATTATCGTTCTTGACCGCGTCTGCTTCGCGGAGATTGACCTTTTGTTTGGGTGGGCACAGATCAGATATACTTTTTCCCAGTGTTCTGCCCAGCTAAGGATTTAAGTCACTTCAACCGGTATTTTGTAAGCGCACTATGTTTAAAAAAAAAGTGAATAATTCTACTTTTGGCAATGATTTAAAGATTACAGCAATACTAAAAAGTATGAAACTATAAATTAAACATTAAAAACAACGTAAAAAAAGTCGAGTTAAAACAAACTAACGAAAAGGTGAATTAAAAACAATAAATAATTTCTTAAAATGCCATAAGCAAAGAAAGCCTTTGCCGAAAATATTTTCAACAATTAAGACAAAAGAAAAGCAAATCAGTTTCGTCCCATTCAGCTTGAATCCTTTGGCTAATTAGAGTGTACAGCTGCACTTGTGCACAGTCTTTCTTTGCGTAATGCATTTTAAAAAATTGTAAATTATTTTCTACATTTTTTTGTCGTTTAACTCGTCTTTCATAGACAGTCTTTAACAAAAATAGTTTTTAATTGATTTTTTTTGGTCAAGCTTTACTTTAGCTGCTAGTATGATAAGGGAAGGTAATGTTTGTCAGTGCTTAAGCTACACGTAGGGGAGAATTCCGGCTAATGCTAGTTTGTACCTAAACTAACAGTATGAACCCATGTAATGTTAGTCTTAACTTAAGCTACCAACAACGAACTATCTCATGCTGCCCTACCATCGTATACACGCAACTCACCAGGTGTGCAGCGTCTGTTGTACCTGTCAAACAAGACACTAAAACAATCCGGGAATTCCCGCCTACACCTCATAATACACGACACGGCTGAACTTTCCGTCCACACACCCGAGTATGCGACTACAGTGATCAGTTCGTCATTGCTCTTCTTGAAATGTTTGACTTGGACTGCGTCAATGGCAATAACTTTAATAAAACAAAATGTTACGTTTTAACCGTGACCAAAAAAAAAATGTTAAAAGATAATAGTTATCATTGTTTGCTATAACGCTAAAGAAGAAAAGACTGGGGTGATAGAAGCTCTATTGATAGTTCACTTACACGATTGTGTGTCAAATTTCATCACCTTTCACCTCATTAAAACCCGACAAACTTTCAGTAAATAAAAAAAAAAAATTAAAAAAAAAAAAAAAAAAATTTAAGTTAAAATTTTTATACAAACATAGAAACAGTTTTTCTGAGACTAACATCCAAAAAACCCGGAGACAAATTAAAATTTACCGGACATGTGAAAAAAAAAAAAATTAAAACCAGAAAAACTTTAAGTAAAAAAAAAAAAAAAATTAAAAAAAAAAAAAAAAGAATTTAAGTTTAAGTTTTTATACAAACATAGAAACAGTTTTTCTGAGACTAACATCCAAAATACCCGGAGACAAATTAAAATTTACCGGACATGTGAAAAAAAAAAAGAACCAATATACTAGACCCTTTTGTTTTTGAATAAGTTTGAATAATTTCATAATAATTATTATCACCCATGGACTACAACAATGGCTTACACTTTAATGTGTTTGAATGATTAAACTCATTTTAAAGAATGAAATAAATAAATTATAAAGATTTTTATCATTTGTTTCTCATTATGATGCAAAGCAAGAAGAAGAAACATTTTTTTGTGTGATATACTCTCTAGTCATCCTTTTACTATTTCGCCTTAAATTATATCGATTCATTATAAAGCCTGACTTTTTTACGTAAGTTTGGCAATAGCATTATCCGTATTAGTTAACGATTTATTCCATGAGCGCGTGTTTTGGTTTGTGTTTTGTTTACTTGATTTGTTATTGAGTGCATTTGGCGTGGAGATTAATTGTGCATCTATGTGGTTTGCGTTTGTGACGTTTTGGGTGTGAGAGATGGCGTTGTTCGTTGTTTTATGGTTTTGGTAGTTAGATAGTTGTAGAGCGATAGTGGAAGGAAGAAGGCGAGCTGTGGAGTTTATCGTTGACTAAAAAACAATATCCAACATTGATCTTGGTGTTGTTACTAATTAACGTTAGACTGAACTAAGCTATTGAACTACACATGCAAATCGCATTTCCTAACATAATTTAACATTTATCTAAATATACATCAGCATGAATATGATACAAACATCCAAACACATGTATGAAATACGTGAACGAACCACTATACAAGGCATTTAGTGCCACGAACGTAAATAAAAACATTTTGATTCGAATGTCTGCCCTCAAACTGAGAAAATCTAAAACGTAAGGTCGCCCTCATAGTTGCAAATTAAGTCACTATTTTAGTAATTAATGAGCGTTGGTTTTCTTTATTAATTTTCCAGCCTGGCACATTTTTTAATTCTTTTTTTTTTTTTGTGGCACAAATCCACTTGGAGAACATTTTGTGACTATTAATAAAATTAAGCTCATTTTTATTTGCAATGCATAGATTGATTAATCATTTTTTTTTCAATATGAAAGAATTTATACAACAGGAGCTGTTGATCCAGTTATCTTATCGCGTATTTAACACGATGAAGAGATATTTAATATAACCAGGTGTTTGTTGGAACTGGGAGATCTTTCTGTTTAATGTTGGCCTTCAGGGGCCTTATTCAGGGGAGCTAATTATTTGCTGTTCATACTTTTTTTTTATACAAGTCAAAAAGGGAAGTAACTAGATGAAAGTCACAAACCTTCTAGACTTTATGGTCGGAAAAAGGGACAAAAGATCAATGACAAAATCAATGGCAAAATCGATAATGCTAAAAAAAAAGTTAAAGAAAAAAAATATTTTATTTAGAAATGGAGCCAGTGCACCTCACTTAAAAACAAAAACAATAAGTTTTCTTTATTTATTCACTCATTGAAATTTTTTTGATGTTAGCTAATTTAATACATAATTTCGGTGATACGTTGACATGAACATTTTACACATTTAATAAATCCAACAATTTAATAATTTATATTTTGAAGTTTATTAAAAAAAAGTTTTATCAGAAAGTTTAGTTAAAAAAACGAAAACGATGCACCACACACATGACACCCCAATCTCCACACACCGAATTAAAAGAGAAGTGTGTACATGTGCTGATGTGTATGTTATATATATATATATATATATATATATATATATATATATGTATATTATTTGTTAGATAGCTCCATTAAACCTGTTATATATAATATATCACTTTTGTCATACCCTTGTATAATATTATTGAGTGTGTGTGTGAGGGTAAACCTGTTATATATGTAGTAGTGTGG